GGCCGCTGCCGGGCTCGCAGTCCCATCAGCCCCGCGTCCGGGGGGCGTGTGGTTAGGGTGTTTTCTTCTCCGCGCGCAGGCTTCTGTTCGCAGCTGTGTCTTTCACTTGCTCTTCCCCTTCCTCCCGCGAGCGCTGCCCGGCTCCTGCTCCTGCTCCTGTAGATGCATGTGGTTTTGTAGTCTGGCTTCGTCCTGGGCGGATCTCTACCTGCAAAGAATGACCACTCTTCAGAGTTGACCGCTTGAGCCTTGACAAACACCCCGTCCCCCGCCTGGATTGTGGGTGCTCAGTGTCCTGATAAGTGAGTCAAAGTTTCTGAGACTGGGCTGGTACTTTGCACTGGTCGCCAGCGGTGCTGGGCTGGGCAGTGCGTCAGCATGTGGAAAAGGGCCACTGGCCAGCTGGAGGTGGCCGAGGACCAGACAGGCTTCGTTTCAGACCCAAGGGAATGTGTCCAGGTGCTTGTGTATTCTCCTTGGTCGTCCCAGAGTTATCTTAGAAAATGTACTAAATTTTGATTTAGGTGGGCACTTGCAGAATTGATGGTTTCGTGGAAATGAACTGAAATGCCAACCAACCTCGTTACACTAATGGTAAGGAGAACTTATGCTTGGTTGACAGATTTCAGTGCTGTTTGGAGACAGATTTCAAGGCCTGCATTTTTGGCACTGGAAGTAGTTGCGTGTAACACTTCACAAAACAGAATCATGAAAACCTTTTTCATAGTTGTGTTTGTATTTGGTGTCTGCTGCACTTCTGTAGATTGCTGCACTTCTGCACTTGTGTAGTTATGATGTCAGAAGATAGGGACCTGAAGTTTGTGGTCAGATTGGAAGTGAATTTTGCTGATGGAAAGTACGGTCTACAAACTGCTAGCCGTGGAAAATTGGCCTGTCATTCATTATGTCCGTAGAGCTCCCATATAAAACTGGCGAGATTGCAAAGGAGAAAGACTAAGTGAATTTAGTATTTACATCATCATCAAATTGTATTAAATGGTCACCTGCTTAGGAAGTTAGCTAAGACGTTGAGTTAGATTGGTATCTATAGTCAGTTGAGGATGTGTTCTGATATTGTTAAGTCATATGAGAAGAAATAGATGAGGGCAGGGCTTATTTGTGAACATATTGCATAACTTACATTGTATTCTAGAAAGCGGGAAACGAGATAGTAGATCCTAATACTATTAGGTCAGATAGTAACATACAAATCAACCTAGAAGGGTGTGACTGTAAATGTATGAAGTTTTAAAAATTTTTTTGGTTTGCATTATTTTATAAGAATTTTGTATGGTATAGTTGTGATGTTCTGAGAATTTCTCATTGATAATTGTTTCACGATCTAGGTTGTTTTCATTCTAGAAGTTACAGTGGTTTTTTTTTTTTTTTTCTTTGCCAGAATTTTATATGAGACAGAAATTTTCATGTTTACTAGTTAACAGTTTTGAATATGTGACTAGTAAAAACTTGTACTTTTTTTTCTTTGCCTAAACCCAAACTTGAAATTGCTTAATTACAAGCAGTTGTATATTTATTTGAACTCTCAATTGGTATGGCATCAAAGCTGAAAGTTCTAGGGCTGGGTTTATAGCTCAGTGGTAAAATGCTTGCCTTACATATATGAGACTCTGGGTTTGATGTCCAGTACCCCAATACAAAACCCAAAAAACCCCAACACAAAAAAGCTGAAAGTGCTTTTATCATTGTCTTGGAATAGTCAAAAGAAAGAATTATATTTTACCAAATGAAAATATTATGTATGAGATAGCCAGGTTTGTAGATACTGAGAGTAGCAGCTAAGTAGAAAACATTTCTTATACAGTACTGGGGGTGTAGGATTGGGCCTGCATTCCATCTTATCATTGTCTTCAAATGGTGGGGGGCTGATCATTACTGAATGAAGCGTGTCTGGGGATTGAAGTCAGTATTATAGTATACAGGATTCTGAGACACACAGCTTTTTTCCTTATGTCTCACAAGTTTTAACAAAATGCTATGTCTTAGTAACTTTTCTCGTTGCTGAGACAGAATGCCTGACATCCAAAGTTAAAGGGACAAAGGTTTATTTGGTTCACAGTTTGTAGAGGTTTTGGTTCATAATGTGTAGGCTCCAAGGCAGGGTGATATGGCAGACAGGCACCACAGAGGAGAAACAGCTTATGGTGGGCAACAGGTAACAAAGCAACAAGGGACAGCTACAGCTTTTTCTATCCCTTATATCCTATTCAGGCTACTTATGGTGGGTAGCACTCACACCTGTCATCCTGGTGCCCTTGATCCTAGCATTGCACCATGAATCAGTTCCAGTGTCACACACTCTACATACAGCCACCTCTGAAAAAGCCCCACCTATGACCCAAATGAGGCTTTGGTGGAGCAGCGGGTGGGGGGAACACCTCTAAACACAAGTCATAACATGCTGCGTGCTTGTAACTCTTGTCTTACATAAATGGGTCAGCCCTGAGGCCTGAGAATGACCAGCAGTTCAAGGCTGTTCCAGCTGCTGTTCTAGCTCAGGGATTTCTTATGGAAATAGTCTTGTGAACATTTGCCATGACAGACAGTGGAAGCAGAGAAAGGACAGGCTGAGCCTGAGTTATGGTAAAACATACTCACTTTTTAAAAAGAGCCTTAATGTTGAGATTATGGAGAAGGACATAGCTTGACTTGACTCCTGCCTTGTCAGAATGAGAAAAACTTCTTCCTTGTAGATAGTATTGAAGTAAGGTATAAATAAGTATGTGGATATCAGTGGACTCTAATAAGAAAGAGTTAATAGAATTAGGCAGAATTTGTATCTCAGTATTCTCTTTTTTATACTTCATTTATTTTCGTATTGCTCTTATTTAGTAGACAAGATGCCACAATTGTTTGAGTTTAGCTCATACTGATTCTCTTTTGTTATCTTACAGTTTGTGGCGTAATTTTGGGGGTTTTCCTGGGAAATTTGTAGGCATACATGTATACTCAGTTGACTTCAAGTTAGATATGGATTAGGATTATTAGTGTACTTGAAATTCTAAGCTGTCTTGTTTTCTAAAGTCTTAAAAATAGAAAACAGAATTCTTTATAAATACTCATGAAAAATTTGGTTACAGGCTGTGTTGTGATAGACAAGAGTACAGCCAAAAATATATTCAAGAAACCTCTCCCTTTCTCACCCAGTTTAGGAAGAAGTAAGAAAATATTTTTTTTTCCAACAAAAGCTTGGTTTTCCCAGAATATCAGCTGTAACAACTGGTTGCTGAGCTATTTTTCTTCTTGTCTATTCTAAATTCAACAAGTACTACATGTCTTTTGTCCATGGCAAAAACTTAATTGTAGAAGGGGATTCTTAGTAATAAAGGTCCCATGGAGGAATGCAAGGTTGTGCTGGGGAATTTGACTGGGAAACATCAGGTATGAAAAATTCACTTTTTTTATTACACTGGTTTTCTCTATACCAGCCTTCTCAGGTGGGAGTATGGGCACAAAATAAGAATCACTTGTATTTTTTTTCCATACCATAAATTTCTTTTTCCTATTCCCCCAACCCATTACTCAGTGACTCCTTGCTACTGGGAGAAGTGTGTTGGATCGCTTCTTGGCCTTTTGACTAAGATCAAGTGAAAGTGTGTTGTGTCTTTCATGTGTTTTAAGATGAACAAAGGCTTAGAACCTTGACCTTGGCTGATGATTCCTAAACCAATTCCTACTTCTTGTAATTTATTTGCTTGCAGATGATATTGATAGGCATCTGTTACTCTCATTTTCGAAGGGAAAAATGAATTGTGAAGAGACTAGATATGTAATCAAGAACAAGATTTATTGAACTGTATAGTACTTGTGGGAAATCAGGAAATTAATTGTTTAGGTGAACACTTACTCAACTGTTCTGTGACCCACGATGAGAAATGCATTTTTGTCTTGCTTCAGCATGCATTTGTGCACATATACAAAAGTGAAAGAAAACTTTGGCGAAATGCTCTTTATCTTTTCATGAAGGGCCCTGCTGAGTTGGCTTATGCTGCTTGTAAGAGCAATTGTGCATATCTCTTCCCACCTAGCCGCATGTCAGTGATACCATGTTGTAGCTTGAAATTGGCCATGGTGGGGGAAGTCAGCAAGTGGTGTAAATTCACCCCTCCCCCCCATAGCATAGCAAGTTCTTAAACATTTATAGCACATCACTATCTACAAAACATTTTAATTTATTAAATTCATTGCATTTTGAAAAAGTATAGGTTTTAATCTCAAAATTAATTTTACTCTCAAATAATGAGTAACAGTCTAGTTTTTTAAAAAAGGAACTAGTGTAGCCCATTCTCCTAACTTTGCAGATGAATAATACAAAAAGCCTGAAGTCTAAGGTCATATAGCTCTTTATTAGCAAAGCCAGGGCTCTGGACTCCTCAAGTTGATTTTTGTGGGGTTCTTTCCTTTCTGAACCCAAGCCATTCATTTAATTCAATTGGAGGACTTAGTTCAGTGGTGGTGAACCTGTGGCATGCATGCTACGTGGGCACACAGACTGCCTCCGTCAGCATGTAAACCAAATCATCCTAGCAGCCGAACAAACAGATATCAGTTGTTTTTTCTAAACTAAAACCTCAGTATTTAAGTTTAGTTGCAACATTGGCCCTTTGTGATAGATTACTTTTTTTTTTTTTGGTACTGGGAATTGAA